AATTATGTTCATGTTAACCTTATTTCGAATGCATTGCATTCGGGAGGGGGATGTTAAGGAACGAATCGTTCCCTGTAATATAAAGTAAAAACACATACATACCGCTGCGCTTGCGTAATGCGGGCGTCTTTTAGTGTTGATTTTAAGACAGCGTGTGTTGTATTCTTTAAATCGATAAAAAATAAAGAGCTATTTGACAATTATAAAGAGAATCTGCCTTGTATACAGACTATTTAACGACCATTCTAACAGACGAGAACATATGACCGGCGAAATATATATATATATATATATATATATATATATATATATATATATATATATATATATATATATATATATATATATATATAGTTAGTTGTGTAATTGTACACTCTGTAATATGTTAAGATGAAAATGTTCTAGAGTGTGTATTATGGAAATTGTGGTATGGAAATTATATAATACACACTCTAGAACATTTTCATCTTAATATATATATATACAGGCGATCGCCTGAAGATCGCTTCGAAAGAAGATTAAAGAATTATTTAAGCTCTATCGTATATTGGTATTGAGCACTCTTCGTTCAATTACGGACAACAAGAATTAATTATATATATATATATATATATATATATATATATATATATATATATATATATATATATATATATATATATATATATATATATATATATATATATATATATATATATATATATATATATATATATATATATATATATATATATATATATATATATATATATATATATATATATATATATATATATATATATGGTACAACACGAATGTATCGACGCATGTAAGCAACACCAATCCAGAAGTTTTCCCCTTCTCTCAAATTGTCATCACGCTGTGATGAGCATAAATTTCAAAGTCGAGTGATTAGTATTATGACAATCTAAAAAGTGATTAACAATACTACAGGTTCTACGTTGGCGTTTAATATGCGATTTGTAATTTGCAACCCTCTTCTTAAAATTAGTGGTCGAACCCACTCCTTGCAAATGACAAGCCACACAAATAGCCAAGTATACCATTTTAGGCGAAGTACATGAAAGCGATTTACTGATCTCATAAATCTTTTTGGTCTAAATTGAACTAAAAAATTCCGGCAACAATCACACCGTTTGGCTGAACATTTGAAACAACCTATACTTTCATTAACAACTCTTTCCTTATATGGGTTCGATGGCACCAATAGCTCTTTCAAATTGGCATTACGTTTATACGATACCCTAATAAATTTTGTAGGTAAAATTTCCTTCGCCCGTTCATAATTTTTAATGATCTGTCGAATATTAGGCCCGCGGGGATTATACCAGAGTTGCAAAACCTGTTCAAATTTCGTCCGGGTAAAATTTAAAGTTTTCAAACCTTCCTCAAAATAAATACTAAAATATGGCTTCATCAAATATCACTATACTAGAGTATATAAACTTTATAACTGATTCTAAAAGCATAAAGTTTGAAAGAGACGTGTCATTAAATGCAGTACACGATTCTAATATATAATTTGCCGTAATAGATTTATACTTTGGACAAATTGGACAGTCCTTACCTACTATATATCTACATCCTATATGATATATTGATGGTTTCTATATGTGATTTCTATATGTGATGGTTTCTGAATCTGTAATAAAAAGCACAACAGCACACACATAAAAAATTGAGAAAATCAACAACTTGTTCCCGGGTGATATTGACAGGCGTAAACAAGGTTGTGCTGCCAACTATGAACAAGTTTTCAACAAAACTTGCAACAACATTGTTGACAACTTGTTCATAGTGGACAACACAACCTTCCTGTCGATATCAACTGTTGTGACTATAGGTAAAGCAACCCCCTTAGCGATGCCTAGTATTTGTGACTATATAGGCCTATATATATATATATATATATATATATATATATATATATATATATATATATATATATATATATATATATATATATATATATATAGATAGATATATATACCGGGTGTCCCAAAAAAAGTACTCCGGTTTGATTCGTAATAACTTCTAAACAATTAAAGCTTTTAAAGAGAAATAACTTGCATCAAATAGAGGAAGGACTAACTTAGATTTTGATATATTAGAGTTGTATTTCACTTAAAAATTCACGGAGATATTAATGTTTAAAATCGGGAGCATATTTCTGGATGTGTCTGAAATATGCAAAAAACAGCGTATCAAATATTAATCAACATTTGCCCGACTGAAACATGCACTATTACCAGTAAATAAATGACATTTGTCAAATTGTTTATTATGAAACAAAGTGTTATTATCTACAAAATACAAGCAAGATTTATTTGTCCGAAATCCGTGTGCAGGTGTTCCTAGCACGAATACGTTTCCTTATTTCATGAGACCACTGCATCGAGAAGGATCGTCATGAATATCCGCGTTCGTAGTTCTGAATTAGGGCATGCTGGTGTCACAATAGAATTGTGAAGCTCTTCTAACTTCTTCAAAGTTCTGAAATCTTGTTAAGAAAACTCAAACTCATTTGCCTTTTCTTAATCTTGTTTATCTTGTTAAGTTCAGAATAAACTGAGAATGAAACACAATCAAACCATACAACTTCATAAGTCATAACAAGCAACTCCCCAGAGACATCCAACATTTTTGGAACAAAACGTAACAAAATAGTAGCGTCGATACTGTGATGTGTATTTGCAAAAAGCAATATTATTTCCTTCGTTAAAGAATAATATTCATCCTGCTCTAACCGAGAAATAATCAACTCTGTTTTTAACCCATGAAAAACAAAAAAAAATTAGGCTATTTAAGAAAAATTTAAGCCTGCCTTAGTGGTCTTTCATGTACCTTTAAGTTTGTAAAGACCTATTAAATACTTGCATAATTTCGAACATTCATATTTCAGGAAACAATGAGCTAAGACTTACATGCATATATGTTAAGATGTCTAAATCTACGCCATATCTCTTATACAAACCCTAACGACAATTCGTTGAAATACAAGTTAGCCTGATATGTCATTAAACAAAGAAACGCTGGAGTTATATTTGATATGCCGATTTTCGCTAATTTTAGACACATCCGAAAATATGCTCCCGATTTTGAACATTAATATCTCGGTGAATTTTTAAGTACAATACAACTGTAATATATCAAAATCTAAGTTAGTCCTTCCTATATGTAATGCAAGTTATTTCTGTTTGATAGCTTTACTTGTTTAGAAGTTATTATAAATCAAACAGGAGTACTTTTTTTTGGGACACCCTATATGTTATATATAAGTTCTATCGGTTAGTCTACTTTTTAATAATTGTTGCATTGCATGGGGCAATGATTATTTTTAAAATAAATTCTATAACCCTCATAAAGGCACAAGTATGTGACAAACAGGTTATCATAATCGGGGTGAGGTGATATCAGTTTTATCGCTTGAGGGGCAATATCATAAGTGTCACGAGTGAGCGCAGCAAACGAAGGACATTTATGATATCGTCCCTCATGCAAGCGATAAAACTGATATCACCTCACCCCTCATACATGCATATACGAATGTGATTTGTTTTACGACATGCTAAAGAGTGCTCGATATTATATAGATAGAGCAGAAATGGTCGTTTTATCTCAAACGGTTGCCACAACAGCATGTTTCATCCAAGAGGAATCGTCAGGTGGCTGACAAATTTCGAAAAATGGGCTGCTTAAATGGTTATGGTCGGAAACGTGAGCGAGTGGGTGTCAAACAGTACATGCATTCCTTCAATGCTATCATTGTTTACTAGTAATCATTGAATATAATGGATCTTGCCTATGGAATCATTGAATCTTGAGATTGATTTTTTCAACTAAACGACATAGTTTATATTACACAAAACCAGGTTTTCGCCATTTTGAGAACAGTGATTATGATGAATCAGTTAGCGAAATGTCTCAAACAAGTGAGATATA